TCAAAAATTAATTTTATGACTACAATTCTATCACTTTTTCTAGCTGCTTCTACTACTTTACTTTTCATCCCTTTATTCATTATTATCCCTACACCATTATTTGAATTGTACACTAAAACACTTATTCAACTTTGATATCATCAATAATTTAAAACTTCATTTTTTTGTCTTTTTAGCTTTTGTAAAATATTACACACTATATTTTTTAAGAAAAATAATTCCTAGTTATTATACAATGATTTCAAAAAGTAATTTCTTTTCATTTTAATTAGGATAGATGGAATTAAAAATCTCATTTAAACATTATTTTGTCGTGGAAAAATATTTTAAATGTTTTTGAATGTTATTTTATTGATAATTATTTATTTTTTTATAAGGATTCGTCACAATCTAAGAAATACATGTTCAATCATTTGTATTGCGTTGTAGACTATGATCAATACGTCTAATTAAATTAGTTTATAGTTCAGTTAATTTCTATTTTATCATAAAAAATAATGAAAAACTTGAAGTGATTACTTCAAAACGCTTAAAACGAAACCAACCTAAATTATCGTTTCTTTTTTTTTTTTTGAAAAATACATATTGTACGTGTAAAACTCATTAGTACAAAATTTGCATCTTTAAATATGTTTGCAGAAATAACACTTTTTTTATAAAACATATCATAAAATAAGGTCATATATCATCGTTTTTGGGACTTGTTAATTCTTTATTTGGTTTTAAAAGGGCTATTATATGAGCTTTTCTCCAAGTTTTGGGTAGTTTATAGGTAGATTTGATTTCATTAAATAGCTCTAGAATCCATCATTTGGTCTTAGGACCAAATTCTTTAATTTGTTCTACACATATATCGTCCAGTCCAGCGGTATTACTATTTTTAAGCATCTTGTTTGAACGGAACGCCCGGTAATGATGTGCAGGTTAGTTACTGTTCGTTTCTGGAGTACTTATATCATGCAAAAGAAAGAAGTAGGGAATGGACTGTATAAATGAGTAAATGTATTGAAAGATTATAAAACAATAAACTGTATTTTTAACATAAATCAAAATTTTTATATATGTACTAATGGGGTAGAGGGGGGGGAACTTAACACTATTGCCACACTGGCGCAAAGACAAATGAATATTAATATATGGAAAAGTAATAAGATAATGACAATTAATTAATTACTTAGCAATTACTGTAGTCTTGAAAGTTGTACAAATTAACTGATCTGGAATAGATAACCTTTCAACAAAATGGTGGATACAATTTACTAACATAAATGGGATGTGGTTAATCGCAAGGCGATGATATGGCGATGTACATGGGCAATGTTGAGTCGCAGGGCGAATTTACTATATTTGCGTACTAAGGTACACGCGAATCGCTAGGGCGATGTCTATACATAAAAAAACTATTATGCATGAAAAAGGCCTTATGGAACACATTAACAAGGGCTAAAATAGTAACAGCACCACAAACACTACGACTCAAAGGATTTTCACATCGAAATCATACATCGATCGCGTACATAATCATCTGTTATAATGAATCGCTCACACAACCGGTGGTGGTAGTGCGAGAGACGTTATCAGTCATAAAAAAAAAGATGTAGCAAAACGTCCTCTCGTAATGCGTATCCAACACATCTTTATGGTTTCGTTTAATTCTTCTATGTTGAATTGCTCTTTGAAGTGCCCATTTTCTTCATTTTCAGTCGTGTGTTTTTTCTTGGCTTTCTTGTGGTTTGTTTCCCTCTGATCTTTTCTGTTTAAGAGAAGTTTATGGGCAACTTGATCTGATGTAGTTATATTTTGTGAATTCCATTGTTTTGGATCGTTATTTAGTTTCTTCGTTAAACCCCTGCCTTTACTGTGTTTCATATCTATGCTTTCAACTAAATTTATCCAATTTGCTCTCCTTTCTTTACCTATTGCTTTTAGCAAAAAATCACTTTTATTTGTGGTTTCATATCCAAAAGGGTCCTTCTCGTAAATTTCGGTGTATGTATGCATGTGATTTGTTAGCTGTGAGGAAAGGCCCGTTATATATTCTGTTCTGTTGCTTCTTGGGATATGATTTCTCAATATTCTTTTAACGATATTAACAAAGGTCTCGTAATTTTTCTGTAGTTGGTGCAAGGTTTGTAATCTCCGAGTCCAGTTCTGTTCTAAAATCATTCCAATTAGCCTTTCTGAAATCGAACCTTCTTTTCATTGGTTCTATAGTGGATTTAATAGCAACGTTTATTGAACATACAATTGGACGATGTTGGGAGCGCGGGATTGGTTTTGCTACTGTCTTGACACACTGCTGTCAATATTTTCACTGATTATCATAAAATCTGGGTTATAACCCCTTTTCCACCTTGCACAATTAAAGGATGGAGTTAGCTTGGAGTCATGTATGATCGACAATTGGTTTCCATCTGCCTATTTTTCGACCCGTTCTCCATCGTCATTTGTATTTTCATATCCCCATTCTATGTGATGGTTGTTGAAATCGCTGATTATTATTTTTGTTCTTGAATCGTTAAAATAATCAGGATTGTGGAAAGTAAATAGAACATTTAGTAGTTTGTATAATGATTTATTATGTTTGGTTTATAAGATCCAAGCCCCATGCTGGAAAGATTAGCCGATTAGTGAGAGGATCACTTAATCGTTACCTAGGTGTACTGCGTAGAGGTTCTTTCCTTACACCCACCCGTCAAAGTAAAATTGTGTTAATATGTTATTTGATCTTAGTTGGATATCATTAATAAAATAATAAAATATAATAAGTCGGCTATGGTAATGTAGTACAAAAATTTATTTTATTTTATTTCCACTACAACCTATTTTTATATTATTCAACTGAATATTTGTCAACAAAATCTTTTTAATGTAAAACTTTGAAGTAGAAAATTAAAAATTTTGTGTTCAAAGTTATTTGTTATTTATTTTTAAAGTTGCATAAAAAGCTAGAAGCTTTATTTAATATCGTGGTATTTTTAACGTTTAACAATCTCAAATTAAATTAGTAGACTGTTAGTGAAATGTTCATACGCTTTAACATATTTATAAATTTTGTTTATTTTGTTCCTCAGCACTTTGATATTCTTTTAAATTGACAACAATTTCATAAATTATGTAAACTAATAAATGAATTACTCTGTATATATTTTAATAGGTAATTCTATCCGTAAGGAGTTTCTGAAATATTTTGCTAAATTTAACATTATTTTTTTATTTTTCAATTATAACGTTTAATAATTTGTATTAAATATTAAAAATGTGGAATAAGTCATTTTTTTTTTATATTACTTGTAAACATCAATATTTATTTTCTGATATATTACATTAGACTTATTCAAATAGAACTTAAAATATATATATATGTATATATACACATTGTAATACCGCTTTAATAACATCACACGTAATCTTTCAGGTAGATAGAAGACTGAAAAAAAATAAGCCCTCCTTACAATCCCTTCTATTTATATATAAATATTACTATGCACAGAACTTTCATATTTTATGCAACCGTCCCTGGGACACTATTTCATATATATTTCAGAACATCAATTGTATTTGTATACCGTTATTCGAAAGCTCGACATAAATATGTTTCATGTCCACGGCAGGTACTTTATATCTTATACCATCTACTGTGTCATCCTTAGGTTTTAGTTTATTTCGTTATAATAAATTTAAAATACTTTATGAAGAACAAAACGATTTTATCAATAATTATTTATAAAATAGTTTAAATGTAATTGAATTACGTTTTATCTAAGTTTTTTCCACTCGTTGTGTTACAGTACATAAAATAACTGTATGTATCATTATAAATCATAAAAACCAATATATATCCTATTTTTCATATAAATATTTGAAACTTAACAAGTTTTTTAATTGTACTAAGACTCGTTAGGAATTTTATGCTTATAATGGTATTTTAAATATTTATCAAAGTTTCACAGCTAAAAATATTTCCCGCGGACCTGCAAATTATTCTCATTTATAAAAAAAATTATAATGATTTATTCAATGAGTTTGTCGATATAAAGCAAATAGCTACTATTTTTATAGAAAACTAACATTTTTTCTACTCAAGTGTAGCAATATATATATACGTTAAAGTATAATATAATAACATTTAAATAATTAGAACAATAAATCTACACGAATTATAAAGTTTGGAGTAGTTGTTTACAGAATACTTTGGAACTAATTCTAAAAACATTGGTTAGTTTAAAGTTAATATTTTACAAGATAACAAGTTTGTATAATACATGGATAGAGAAACTAAGCCTTTTGAAATGAACAGATATTGTTGTCGGCTAAATTGTAATACACGCTTTACTCGTCAACGGTAACCTCCTTTAAGTTTTTTGAACACATGTTGAACGTTTAATTCTATACCTTACTCAGTCTTGGCAACGACTTCTCCTTTTGTTAGCTAAAATGAATTTTGTCTTTAAGATTACGTTGACTAGTGCAAAAGATAAAGACAAAATATCTTTTGTATCTCACGCAAAGCATTATTTTTTAGAAGTTTGAATATGTCCAAAAGAAGAGAATAATTTGATCTTAAATTTTAGTAATGTTTGCCTTAAAACACCTTCAGCAGAATTCTTTAAATTAGTCTACTTTTGAAATAAATTAAAAAAATGACGGGATTAAGTTTATCATTTCACCTTAGCTTTTTAAATTATTCATAAGCTTTTAAAAATAAACTTTGTATATAAATGATAATAAATGATTTTCAAACAATTTTTATCCTTATTAAATTTAACATTTTTTTTTAATACGTATTAATTTAATTTTCTATTGTAAAAAAATTTAGTTAATATTTTTTAAAAATACTGAAAATATGATCAATGGCTGCTAACACATTTCTTTAAATTGTAATATAGTCATTTTTGGTTTATTTTACCATAACTATAAGCAGGAATTATTACATATTTTGTACATAATAATATATGTTTTAATGTGGAATTCTTTGTAATGAATTATTTTTTCAATAGGTACAATAACAAGCACTGGTCGAATAGGAGAGCGTCTAAGTATATCCGGCTCGAGATTGGACACAGCAAGTCCAGTGAGATTTGGACCAAAATCCAGTGCTGAATCGCTAAGACATTCTGCTGGTCGACAAAGTTTATTGGATTTAGTAGGATGTAGATTTGGCGTTGGTCGAAAACCACCTCAAGTAAGTGTTTATTCATGTAAATACCTTACTGCCCCTGAAATGCGTTGTAAATTTAATCAGGATTTTTATTTTTCTTGTAGTAAAATGTTAAAAAATATGTTCGATTCAATATGACTTTTTTTGTGGTAGTTTTGAGTGATCCATTTTTCTTTATGATTAATCAATATTAGTCGATAATATTGTTGTATACTTAGACATCAATTTAATTATACCCTAAACTATTCACAACACGCATTGACTATTTATTATAAAGACTGTTTTATTGTATTTCAAGATTTTAATGGAGAGACTATCATAAAAGAGATTAATTACATTTTTAGATTAAATAGAAATGTTTTTATTACAACTATTAAAATGTCAATTATTAAAACCACACTTTAATGTGCTAAAATTGATAATAAAATATATAGGAATTTATTATATAAGTAACACTTTTGAACAATATTTTAAACTTTTATGACATAGCACAAGATAATAGGTAACGATAAGTTACGCTACAAATAAATAATTAACGGTCTCTTTTCGTTCTATAAATATGAAACAATGTGATTTTAAACTGAGTTTATTGTTTAATATACTATTTACAATTTCGTAAAATACTAGGATGAAATAAAAATAGAAGTATTACAAAATAAAGTGCAGTGCTAAATTATAGCCACATTTAAAGTATAAACACGTGTAAAATGTCAAAACCATACCTAATAATTAACTTCTACCAATAAAGTAACATTTTTTTAAAACAAAGTTTTAAATTCCAAAAGTATTTGTTTCTTAGTATGTTAGAACTCTATTACGTTGTTATTTCTACCTTAAATCAAATTAACCCATATAAAACATATAAAATCTATAAAAAACTTTGAGTTTGATTAAATAAAATTTTACTGATTCTTTAATCTTGTAAATTCCAAGCCTAATCAAGAAATACTAGCATAAACAAAATATATCGTTAAAATCATATGTTCGTTTGAATACTTCTTCCCTGATAAATATTATCAAGGTAATATTAATTAGGTAATAATAAACACAGAATTTTCGTCTTTTTTACATTTAACGTAAATTAAATTTTATTTATTCATTAAAGTGATTACAATTGTGTTAAAATGAAAAATTGAACCTAATGACTCAATTGGTTTTCCGTGTGAATAAGTATGCAGTTTGAAATTTTTATGATCATCATAATTGTTTATGAATAAGAGATTTCATTTTTTTGACTTTAAGTTTAAATACTAAATAAAAGCGTTTTTATAGCAAAGAAGATATAGAAACGTATTCATGTACTAACTTACAAGTAAAATAGTTTGTGATCTAAGCATTTATTAATGTATATGTAATATTTAGTTTGTTATGACATTTTTTTTATGAAACACGCTTAAAATAGCACAAATAGTATCATAATTGATCAGCTAAACTTTTTTGTTAATTCTAAGTTATACTATATGTATTTATTATATATAGTATAACTTATATGGAATTTTCAAGTCGTACCTTTTTTCAATATTTACTAAAAACTTACACTAGTAAATTACCAAATACTAATAACTAAAAATTATATATTTAATATTCAATTAATTATTTTCAGACTTGCTTTTCCAATTCACGTGATTCATTAACACCAACCTACACAAATCGAACTGCTTGCCTGCCCAGTGGCATTGCCAGCTCAGATTCGGACATCGCAACCAAAGCAAACAAATCGTCGAACCGACCTAGCCGTGTTAATTTTGACGGTGTCGCAACGGCCACGACTCCTACAGCCTCCAATACCGGCCGGGCGTCTTACAACAATGCTCGCGGCTCCATCTGTTTCGACGGCGGCCGACAAAAGAATGGAGGTCCTCGACAGTACCGAGACCGGTCCGTTGAACGGGCCAAAGGCATACGATGGTCCTTTGTATTTGACCCGGCCGGTCAGCTCTGCTACTACTGGAACATGGTGGTATCGCTGGCATTTCTATATAACTTTTGGGTAATCATCTATAGATTTGCGTTCTGTGAAATAAACCGTAAGTAAAAAAGAAATAATAATCGAATCATATTTACTTATTACATAGACGATTTGTAAGAGTTAAGCGAAAATTAAGTAAATCACTTTTTATAAATTTAAAGTCGTTTGAAATATTTTAATCCTATAGAACTAATATAAATGTAAATTTTCAAAATGCAGTAATATTTACTTATAACTTAATTTTATTTCTATTGTTAATACGAAAGGAAGAGGCGAGTTTGGAATTTTTTTTAAGGCCAAACTCATTTTATCCAAAAATTGACTTTCACCTATTTTGCTTTGACCCCCCTATTTAATAAACTAATTCATTTGAAGCTATATAAAGAATATATTATTTTAACGAAAATTATAAACAGGCTTTGTGAATATTATGCAATGGTAAATTATACTAATGAAACCTTTTCCTATTTTATGAAAACACTCAAATTGAAACAACATTATGTTTTAAAATTTTATTTTATTATTTTTATTATGTAACACAATACAAAGACCTTTACTTAATAGTAGAATAATTTACTCTCGTTGAACTAATTAACTTACGTTATGACTGACACACTGATACTTAAATAATTAAATTAAACAACTCATATTTTATAAGCATACTTATTCAACATACAGTAAAATAGCACATGCACTGTATGAAATGATTCAATAATTCCCATACTTCAGTGTGATACTTTTAGTATACACATTACTTTTATACGAAAGTACTGTAAATTTGATAAAAAATATCGAAAATTTGTTCATAAATATAACACTTTTAGAACTATTTACAAAAATTTCCCCTTACATTATAATTGTTGAAAACTTTCAATACATATATCTGAAAAAAGGACATTTTTTGAATTATCTACATCATGATTAGTTTTGAAAATTTTATATTCTTTTATATATCATGGATATTCAAAATCGAAATTTAACTATTCTTTGAGCCAATATGATATCAATAACCAATAAAATCATAAGTATACATGGAACCCTTTTGTAAAAATAAAAAAAAAAGATTTAGTATTGAATATTTTTTATATGATTCCAGTAAAATACACCGTAATTTATACAAATTTAATAATTTTACTAATTTTGAAGAATTTGGTTTTAATAAAATTTAGCTTTTATACCTGTGTTATATTAATTAAAAATGTTAAATTACTCTTAAAAATAATATTTATTAATATGCTTATGTATAAAATAGATCTATATTAAAACTCATTATTCTCACCATATTTTATCCACTCAACTTAAATAAAACATTATCTTAAAACGCTCTGATTAATTTGTGCAATTGAGTTTATTTGGTATTTGAAATACGTGATCTATATAATGGCTTTCAATTAACTCAGGGTAGAATCAAAGATTAATTAGTCACAGAAATAATGTCTACAATAAGTAGTTATCATAATTGTATTATGAAACCAATATATTTTCTCTTTCGGAAATTAATTTTGATTCAATAAACCTGAATAACATTGTTAATTCAGAAGCGTAGTCAATAAGTTTTGGATGAATTGTAATCAACGTTCGCTGTCCTGAGTCTTAAATAAATGCCACACCTAAAAGTGCCTAATTGAATATCATAATTCGGGACGTTTATTAAGTAGATTTATATGCATACTATTTTACTAGTAAATAAACCTATAAAGTATAACCCTCAATAAAAACCTAATAAATCTAAGTTATATTATTATTAATTATTAATAATAATATAATATGAATATTATCAACATTCCTAATATTAAAATTCTAAATGTTTGAGATAAATAATTTTTAATAAATTATAATTAGATATAAAAATAAAAATAGAAGAACTGATCTTTATCCATAATGTAAAAATGATACGTATTTGTTAATGACCTACACTAATGGTTTATCACACTACAGTAACAACTCATTTAATTGCGCATACACCGAATACTTATGACATAACAATGAAGACCATGAATCGATTGGTACATTAAACCATTTGTTTGAAAATAAAAATTCCGTAGCAGTACTAAATACATTTAAAAGAAATGATATTTTTTTCAGTTACTTTAAGCTGTAAAAATTTTTGTAAATATATATTGTATGTATAAATCTATTTAGAATAAAAATTTATAAATATTTAAAAAATCCAATAAAATATTTTTATTTTTATTTTATCCAATATTAAATAAATCTGAAATATCATTAATATAAGTTATAATATGATACGAGAAGGTCCAATTATATTTTATTTTGATAATATAAAGTGTAAAATATTTCAAAAATAATTTTTTTTTTTAGCATAAATCATATTGGGTTTTTTTTCAATTCAGATTGAAGGACTATCACCATTACTTCTTCATCTCCACCATCTATTATCTTAAGATATTTCTTACCTCAATCTCTCAATTGTTGTCTTGGGCTTTCTCATGGTTTTGTTCGATGAGATTTTCACACTGATACTTTATATATAAGCTTATATTTTGCTCTCTATATATATTCTGCCCAGCTAATCTTTCAGACTTTTAAAATTTTTATAATATGTGACTAATTAAGAATATTAAGATGTTAAATTTGTTGAAAAATTTTAAGAACCTTAGTTCTAAATAAGCATTTTGTGAAGGACAATCACTTATCAAAGATCTTTTAAACTGTTAAAAATACCATCAATAAAATCTCAACTTTTTTGCTACTTAATTGCTCAGTATTAAGTTTTTCAAATCCATTATCAATGAATTTAATTAAAATTGAATAAATTAAAGCGTTCTATACATTTAAAAACAATGAAAAAATAAATTAAAAACCTTGCATCTACAAAATTGTACACTGAAATTTACTCCTTTAATCTTAATTGATCTACCGTCTGGGTTAGTTAGCTGAATTCATAAAGGAGTAAAGGGTAGTAATTTTATTCACTATATTTTAACGAGATTATAAAAGTGACCTTTAAAGTTATGGCTTTATTCCCGAAGAAACACTTTTACCGCTCCTCGATTATATTATATTTGTCAAAGTTTGTTTAGTAATATAATTAAATATTGTTTAATGATTTAATTTTTCTGATAAAAACAAGTCCTATTCATATTAAATAGCGTCATGTTTATGAAAGCCTTTCATAATATTACATATTTATGCAACAAAGAAAACTAAATGTAGATTTAAATAAACTTATGTAATTACATTTTATACCTATTCTTCAAAAACCAATATAATAAACACTTTAATATTTTATTTTTAAAGTAACATTACGTGACGTTGAAATAATATAAAATATTAACTTTTACATTCTATATAATACTTAGTGTGCATTATTTTAGTGATTATAATTTTAATTAATTTTAATTTGACATAACTAAGAAAAAGATAAATACAATAATCTTACCTTTAATTTTCATCATTTTTAATATTAAACAACGATTTTGTCTGATTTAGCAATTAAAATTCTTCGATAAAAGTAAAATTAAACTCCAAACTGTAAAAGACAATATTTTTATCAAGTCTTGCCCGGTAAATTATACATATAGCTCATTTTAAAAGTAAACAATTAAAAATTTAACAAAAAATATAAACTGAACATTTGATTTAATTAACGTTAAAATTTATATTTTAGGCAACACGATCGTTGTTTGGTTCTGTTTGGATTATTTATGTGATCTATTATACGTCATTGATATATTGTTTCATTTTCGAACTGGATATTTGGAAGATGGAGTTTTGCAAACGGATGCGGTAAAGCTGCGAAATCACTATATGAACTCGACTACGTTCTACATTGATTGCCTGTGTCTATTGCCGCTTGACTTTCTTTATCTATCCATCGGGTTTAACTCTATACTTCGATCATTCCGAATTGTTAAGATCTACCGATTCTGGGCATTTATGGATCGCACCGAAAGACACACAAATTATCCTAATCTCATCAGATCAGGAAGTCTTATTCATTACCTTTTAGTTATATTTCACTGGAATGGGTGTTTGTATCATATAATATACAAAAATAATGGTTTCGGTAGCAAAAATTGGGTATATACCGATTCAGATGCTGAGGATACTGATACAGTCAAACGATATTTACAAAGCTACTACTGGTGTACACTGGCTTTGACTACTATCGGCGATTTGCCTAAGCCTAGGAGCAATGGAGAATATGCATTTGTTATTTGCCAATTACTTTTTGGACTTCTTCTATTCGCTACTGTACTTGGACATGTAGCCAGCATTGTGGTTAGTGTGAGCGCGGGGAGAAAAGAATTTCAAGGTAAGTTTTTGATAAAATTAAAAGAAATAATATATATTCTTATAGTAGTAAATTTTAATTTGACAAAAAGCAGATTATAATATTGATGATAAAATATTCCACTATAAATAAAAAAATAGCTATTAAAAAAATCCAAAAACCTTTTTAAAAAAATTTATATGCAAGATAATTTTTTTATGATATTTTTTTATCATTATGCGTTTATATGTAAAATGAATGATACATTTTAAAATTAATTGCTGGTGATGAGTAATTTTTATATCCAAATAGGTTATATTTATTTTTACGACACGTCTTTAAAAAATATTAACATGTTATGAGTACCATATAATTAAAGTTCTAATGAAAAATTTCTAGAAACAAATCTTGTTAGGTTAGAGATTATACAAACTATTAAAAAATTGTTTAATAACAGAGATTTCTACCCCAACGATGAAAGTGAAGAGTTTATAAATATATTTATATGTATATATTAATAAACAACTATAATATATTATATATATACATATTATAGTGTAATTCTTTAGAAATTATCATAACCCACTCAATTACTTACAAAATAAATATAATTTAAACATTTTTTTTTGTTATTTTTAGTTACATTTTATTCCTGAATTATTAACTATGTAATACTTTTTAGGTTATGTAGTAATGATATATTATATTATTTTTTTATATTATTTGTTAGTTATTCAAGTAAAATTAATATAGTTAATAAATAAGACTTAAATATGATTCAATGTTCTTCGTCTTGTCAAAACCAATTGGAACACTGTATGCATTTTATCCAAAGACAAAGTCAAGGAAGAATATGGGTTAAACCCACTCTATTTCTAAAATAATTACATGGTAAAATTATAATTTAGAGAGGGTAGCAGAAAATTTTCTTACGCATAACCCGCTTCTTTCATGACAAAATCCCAAGCACGCTAATGTGTATATCCGTGTGATATAATACCACATAAGCTATATTTTGCAGATTGTAAATATTTTATGTAAGAGTTCGGAAACCCAAGTACTATAGGTACTAGTTAGTACCTAAGCTAACCATTAACTAGTATCCCTAATTAATAGTGTATCATTATGATTGTGTATAAACACATACCAAAATATTAAAGGTAAAACGCAGTGTAACGTAAAAAAACTGATTTCTTGTATTTTTAACAATAGTAAAGTTTAGTAAAAAAATGTATAAATAGTGATTTTTTTACTATAACCCACTCAATTACTTACAAAATAAATATAATTAAAATTTTTTTTTTTGTTATCTTTAGTTTCACATTATTATAGAATTATTAACTATGTAATACTTTTTAAGTTTATCCCTTATGCGTTGTAAGGGTGTCAACTTTGTTTTTTAATACAGGTAGCTAATTGATTTTTTATGACATCCGTAGTAGCAGGTACACAGCATTGTTATTATCAATGATAGTAAGGTACATTGTTGTGAGTTTATAAATACACTAACTGACAATACAAAAAGTATATCTATTGATAGTCATAATTGATAATAAACAATCCGTAACTGTGACAGCAATGTCATAAAAACCATTAGCTACCTGTATTTGTAATACCTTGTGTATTATGCATGTATATTAATTTAAAAATGTGAAACTTTAAATGTTTATATCTAATAAACGAATAAAGTTTTATTAAAAATTCAAATGCCATTTATTATTGAATTAAAAACTCAAACATTTTATTAAATTAAAAATATGTGTTACCATTTAAAAAAACAAAGTTGACACCCTTAAATGAGTTTCCATTTAAAATTTAAATGGTAACACATATTTTTAATTTAATAAAATGTTTGAGTTTTTAATTCAATAGTAAATGGCATTTGAATTTTTAATATAACTTTATTAGCTTATTAGATATAAACATTTAAAGTTTCAAAATTTTGAGTTAATATANTGAACATTTAAAGTTTTAAATTTTGGAGTTAATATACATATATATACAAGGGATTACAAATACAGGTAGCTAATTGGTTTTTTATGACATTGCTGTCACAGTTACGGATTGTTTATTATCAATTATGACTTTTAATAGATAAACTTTTTATATTGTCAGATAGTGTATTTATAAAATCACAACAATGTGGCTTACTGCCATTGATGAGTACCTGCGAATATTGATAAGGGATAAATTTCAAAAGTATTACATAGTTAATAATTCAAGAATAATGTGTAACTAAAGATAACCAAAAAAAAAAAAAAAATTTNTATTAAACAATTTTTTAATAGTTTGTATAATCTCTAACCTAACAAGATTTGTTTCTGGAATTTTTTCATTAGAACTTTAATTATATGGTATTCATAACATGTTAATATTTTTTAAAGACGTGTCGTAAAAATAAATATAACCTATTTGGATATAAAAATTACTCATCACCAGCAATTAATTTTAAAATGTATCATTCATTTTACATCCATGATTGCTTAATTAGTAAGCCATCTAGCATTTGCTAAACGGAGTCTGAAACCATTAAAACTTTTCCTTCATTGTAGGTATATGACTGATAAAAGGATTAAATTAAAGAGTAAATCTAGTGTAGTCGATTTACTTGTCACAGTTCAGAAATTTAACACAATACTGCTATAATATATTCCAATAACCTACATTTAAAACTCCTATTTATTTCAACTACAGTCATAAATTAAGGGTCTTGACACAATTGTTTCATAAGTATAGTTTCATTTTGTTTGTATTAATTCAGAGAAATTATTAAAATATAAATAAGTAAATCAATGAAAAGTTTCTATTGTATTATTATACAATAACCAATATTAAAATGAATTAATAGCAAACATTTATCAGTCACAAAAATTAAGTTAATTTTTAAAATATATGTAACTAAAACAGAATCGAATTTTTAAAAGCAAATTAGTTTGTTTTTTAAGAGTTGTAAAAGTTATTGTGTATAAGCAATTAGGTTGGGTGCAAAACAAATTTAAATCAAATTATTTTACATTTTTTTGCTTAAACGTTTATTTGTGTTAGTAATCGGATACACATTAACTATATATATATTTTAAACATTATACAAAATGGAAAAATGTTCAAATTACTACAACAATATAAAATTTGATAATGCTTTCCATTACAATCTATTTATTAACAGTAATCCGATTCTTAACCAAATAGAAACAATATTTTGCTTGTGATTCGATAGGAAATTTTAAGAGAAACGTAAATCGTCACATAGTAATATCGCGTATTTACATATTAAACATTAGCCTCTAATTCAATTTGATATTCCCATTGTTATATTTTGAATTCTGTATATGGAGTCACAAATTTCCTGTAATAACACAATTTTATAATTGTTGTATTTGTATATTAGTATACAAGTAGTATATTATTTTTATAATAAAAATATTATCAATATTAATTTCATTTTGAACTAAATAGGTTTTAATAATAATTAATTAGTTGGACATGATATTGCAATTAATTACTTTGTATAAGGCACATTTAATAGAACTTAATATTTATATTTTATTGACATATTTTAATTTTATTTGCAGATGGTACTGCTCAATGTAAGTAAAGACATGTAATGTTTATAATGTTATTTAAATTTAAAATTTTTCTTATATTTAAAAATAAATTTTAAGGAAAAGTTCATTTAGATTTGTTTTATTAAACGTTGTGAATGCGAACAGTTATTTTAAAGCTATTTAAGTATTTTACTCTTACCTACATTGAAATTTTTATAAATACTGTACTTTAGACTTAAACCAATATTTAACTAATTAGATGTAAAGCATGATTTATTAACGTCAAATTATATGAAGCTTTAACTAAAACATTATACAAGCAATATATGTCTTTACCTACTTAAAACATTTGCTTATCCAGTTTATATACACGTATTCTAATACAATATATTTATAGATTAGGTAGTTATATTTCATTTTATATACTTTATTCAATAATTAAACATTATTGTAGAAAAATTTGATGTCAGTGGAAAAACGTTATAATATAAATAATAATATACTTTTTAATTTGTTTTAGCTAAATTGGATGGTGTAAAAACATACATGCGAATGCGAAGAGTACCAAATCATTTACAAACCAAAGTAATTAAATGGTTTGATTATCTCTGGTTAACACAAAAATGTTCTGATGAAGAAAGAGCCATTAGTTGTTTGCCAGGTACAAAGAGTTATATAAAAGCAAATCGTTTGTTTATTTTTAACTTTAGAAATTAAAAATTTTCATTTAATTTTTAAATTTCTTAACAAGGATTTATTATAAACTTTTTTTTTTTTAATTTAGATAAACTAAAAGCTGAAATCGCAATAAACGTTCATTTAGACACGTTAAAAAGGGTAGAAATATTCCAAAATACAGAAGCAGGTTTCCTTTGTGAATTAGTTTTAAAATTACGGCCTGTTCTGTTTTCTCCTGGTGATTATATTTGTAGAAAAGGTATAATTTATCATTTATATTTTTCAGAATAGAATGGAAAAAAATTTTAAATTAAATTTTCGTACTTGCAGGCGAAGTTGGTAAGGAAATGTACATAGTAAGTAGAGGAAAGTTGCAAGTTGTCACAGATGATGGAAAATCAGTTTTAGCTGTTTTACGGGCGGGATCTTACTTTGGTGAAATTAGTATTCTTAATATGGGCACAGCAGGTAAATAAAATACAAATAATTAATAATGATAGTATTACCTAAGGTTTGAAATCCTTATGCGAATTTCGATTTTCCATTTCTATATTTCATTTTACTGATTTCAATTTTGCTTATAAATATTTAAAAAAAGCCATAATGGGACGAATTTCATTTTTATACATAACGCCTAAGAATTAAATTTATACAGAGAGTACTTAGTTAAATAGACATCTACCAGGAGATCTAAACTAACAATTTTTTTTGGTGTAGTCCATTTTTGACTTTGTTAAACCTATACTAAAAAAACTAGGACAATTCCCTACAAAATGAAAAAAAAAAATTCCTTATGACTTCTTAACTAAATAGTTTACTATTTAGTAACTGACAACTCGAACGAAAGGAATATTCGTATCTTTACTTGATGATAAAGAAATTAAGCAAAAAGATGATGTTGTTTATATTATTATTATTTTTTTTTTATATCCAACATAATGTACTAAGACTCGCATAGATGTAATATTGTTTATTAACACAACGGAAATTCTTTAACGACGCGCTATCAAATACTTCTTGAATCAAAATAATATTTTGATATTTTAGAAAGACAGTAATGAACTTTAAAATTTTAGTCCAAAATTTGCAAAAAAGATCATGAAGTAATTTAATAAATTTAAGAACCATATACTCTATATATATAGAAATTACATAGTGATCGGAAAATGAGACTGGTCGATAACAAATTTTAGACCAGTATTTTAGAAATGATTAACAATTTAATGTATGACTAGAGGTGAGGAGTAGGTGTTGCTATTTTTATTACCAGTTATTTCCCGGCGTACTCTTCGTCCCACCTAGATATAAAAATGAGAATAACTACTGAAGTACTTGTTAAATTGTTGTTATTGATCAGTTATTTTCTTAATTAGTTTATTTTTTATTTCATAATTTAGTAAAATATGTACGTTACCATTTAAAAAAAATAAAATTAATATCCCTATACGTTATAAGGTATGATTCTAAGAAATAATTATTAGCTTATAAATAAAAAATATATGTAATTAAAATAAATCAAAATTTTTTTAACAATATTGTATTTAATTTGCGAATAATAGAGTAGTTTATTATAAACCGACCAACCTGTATTATATGCTGTGATTTTAAGATCACAATTAAGGATTTCTAAAAATTCAGTTAGAACGTTGGTAATTATTTTAAATAATTCAGCTTAAGTATGACATTTACTACACTAATGTTTATTGAGCATTAAGAATATTTACTATTAGAATCAATTTAAACCTACTAAAATAAATATGATTACATGTGTGTGATTATAATATAAGTAACAATGAATTTTAGTTTTTATACAATAATTCACAATTAAGTATACAATATTACACTATTTAAAAAAAGTTAAAATGTAAAAAAAAAACAAAATGATTCATTGAAGTCTAATAGTTTTGAGTACTATATATTATTCTAATTTAATAAATAATATGTAAAATTACAATAAATTTTATACTAATGCCAACATTAGCGTACTAATATGAGGATTTCATGGAAACTGTACCCCTTTTTACTCATATCCAAGTTCTTTAAATTTTGATGACAATTTTACAAATGTATATTTATATTTTTGATTTTAATTTCAATTCTAATTTAAATTTTTATCGATGGTGAAATTAATTACATGCCTTAGTATTAACAAAACGATTTTTTTCTCAACAATTTAGGAAATAGAAGGACTGCATCCGTCCGTTCAGTAGGATACAGTGATCTTTTTGTACTATCAAAAAAAGACATGTGGGACGTGCTCAAAGAATATCCCACAGCTAGAATTAGATTAGAAGCAATAGCAACTAAGCGATTGGAGAAATATAAGACGGATCCAAGTCCTGATGATAAATTAGAAGGTATTATTTCTTTTTAACGTTGATGAAACATTGTAATTATCTAAATATTAATTTTTGTGTGTTAAAAATTAATTAAATAATATACAAATCATGTCAAGTATAATTTATTTTGTGTATAATTACTTTTATCATAAGGCTTAGTCGGTAGGCGTTGTAAGTCAACTCCTGGAATTGTTGAGAGTCAAATAAAAGTTGATGAAGAAATGTGGATGCAATCTAATGAAGCACTGTTAAGACCAACAACCACATTCAATCATAATAGATCTTTATTCAGTCCTACTGCAAGTCCTAGTTTCAGGTAATTTAAAAAAAAAATTGAATTGAATTTTAGTTAAATTGTTTTATTATAACATTTAGATCAAACGCAGCAGCTACTTTAGAATCTCCTTTATCTAGTAAGTATTCATTGGATCAAGAAAATCACCATCATCATGCTCAAGAAAATCAAAAACCCACGGCTACAACTCCAAGTAATTTTTAAAATAATAACTTATTAGATTCAAAATAATAATACTTCATAGTCTTATTATTTTAATGTAAATTAAATTACACATGAATTTACTCATTTTTATTTGACATATTTCATCTCTTTGCGTAGATACAGACCCATCTATGGTTTCAGCGTTGAAAGCGGAAATTAATCGTCTTCAAGAACGCCTTATAGCTGTTGAAACAGAAAATTTATACTTGAACAAAAAAGTTACTCAACAAAGATGGGATATGGACCATAGATTAGCTGAAATTGAGATGCAAATTTGTAAAGACGTGGGAAGCAGTGCTGACAGTAGTTGCGACGACAACGAAAGAAATAAGGAGTCGATAATATAAAATATTTTTGGATTTATATTAAATAAATCCATTTATAAAAGACTGATGTCAATGTTATTTTGGATTATTATAATTGTTACAATGTAAAACTTTATTTATAAAAATCAGGGTGATATTTAATTTGTCAAACCCAATAGTTTTAATAATATAATTGTGTGTAATATGTATTTACCATAATTAAAGTTCTTGGTGCAACAACCCGATAAGTCTATTTCTTTAATGTTTCAGGTAAATCAATTTTATCAATTTTTTTTTTCATTAAAATCAATGGTAAAATATTTTATCTAAATTAAATATCTATTCAAGTAATTGAAATATAGGACTCGTTTTTCTACTAAATTACGTAAAAATGTCATGTTTATTCAAAATTAGAAACAATACAATGCATAAAAAAGTTAGACTTGTTTGGTTGTTAAATCAAACCTATCAATTTGTACACGATTTTAAGTTTTTTCTTTAGAAAAAGCGTATTAAAGGCAATATCTTTGGTATTAAATCGTTCTAAAGTATCATATTTTTTAAAAAACTTAAAATTTCATAATTTGTATCTTTTATTATTGGTATACATTCAAAGTACTTATATATCAAATGAAATGAATATTATATCAAATGAAAAAAACTAAATTAGTTTGCAGTAAAATTTAAAAGAGAAAATTTGAAATATTTTGACATTTAAGGGAAACAAAATTTTATAATCAGTTAACATTAAAATTTATTTTTGTTTGACTGTAAAAATAGTTTTGTCTGAAATAAATAATAGAATTGGAAACCACATAAAATTACCGATGAGTCAATTCAATCCTAAATACCAATGAAACTTATTGCTTTTAACCAAAAGAATTCACACCTAATTCCTATAAATTAATGATGTATAAATATATACCTATACATCATTTATATTCGTATTTTAAATAATAACTACTTGTATTTATTTGATATATAATTTATTTAAAATCCATTTAATAAAAAGTATTATTAGTTTCAGTATATGGTACGTTATTTTACTATAATATCTAATTATAAATATTTGTCATATTTCTGATATTTAAAAATTTAAACTTATAATTCTTAAAATACTTCATGCAATAAATTCTGTATTTAAAAATCTAGTATTATTGTTCATCGTTAAATTATTTATTGTACAAAAAAAGTTTAATAAATAATTGTACCGGATAGCTATGATAGTGACAACTTTCAATAGATTAGTAAAATGTTACTTGTTCTTGCTTTGGGTAAACGGTTTGGTAATATTACACTGGGACCAATAGATTAAACGGCGATCATAATTATACAATGTTAATGGTTGTATGTGAAAAATAATTTAAGTTAAAAAAATGTTTTTATACCATTCTTTAAATTAAATATGTATTAATTGAATACCATAAATGAAAATTAAAAAATCCTTTTTCGAGACACTTAGATAAGTAGATATATTGTACAATGACTAATGAGCTTTATAATGTTAACTTTTTTTTAAGTATACATAATAAAATCCACACAACATTAATATGTTTTCATTGTGCTTTGATAACTTTATTTCTTCAATTTTTATAATCTTAAATATTCTTTATAAAACTACTTATAATGTAGTTTTTATAATTTATTGTAATTTTTTTTTTCATTTTTCTTATGTAAATTATTATTAAACAACTTATTAAAAAGTTGTGTAGAAAAATTATGTTGTACAAAATAATCGATGAGTAAATCAAATACTTGTAAATAACAATAAAAATAATGTTTTTTTGCTTGGGGTTATTATTTTAATGACTGATCTATGTGTTAATCAAATAGTTCTATCATTCTATAACTATAACTATCTAGCTTTTTATCTTCAATGCGAACCTGATAAAGTATTAGTTTTATCATTATGTGTTTAGTTATTTAATTTATTTACTACAATGAGTATTTGTATAATAAACATAAATTGTAAAATTTATAATCAGGATATAATTAAAGAATTAGAAGTTGATGTTGCTCTTGAAACAATCCAACATTTTCTTATAAAAATTAACTTTATCGACCGATTTTTTTACTTAAAAATGATATACTTGTTCAAAAATTGTAAGAATCAATATAATTTTGTTTATATAACTACTTTATACACGTTCCTTTCAAACTATATTTTTTCATATGTAAATACTGGCTTTCTAATTAATGATAATCTCAAAAAAAGAGTTGACAGAAAAAATCTATAAGAACAAAGTATTAAATTCTAGTTTCTAGACTGACCTTTCAGTTATTTACATAAATTTTAAATTAATTAATAATAAACTTGAGGCAACTTATTAGATTTTCACTAAGGACATGATTCTATTATGCATTTACAAATCTAACAATTACATAAAGTAAGAACATTAGCATAAATAAAATATTAACAACACCCTTTCACCTGATACTCGCACAGCCGCGTGATTTTGCAAACCTTTGAATGCGCCACAATAAATCCTTTTAGGCCGACATTAACAATCACGCGTGTCACGATTATTTCTGAGGTGGCAGAAAAACAGAGAAACATCACAGGTGTGTGAACGCTGAAAATACCACCCCCCAAATGTGAAGTGAGTATTCAATAAAATATACGTTTAGGCGTAAAACCAAACAGGCCGTCACATAACCAACAAAAACTACGCCAGATCACTGGATATGTCGAGTAATCAGACTCAACAATAAGACATAACCACCGTACCCGAACATAAACACTTGGGTGCTGATAGTGCCGGATACAACTATTAAGTCGTAAGTCAAGTGGTGAGAGGAGGTGGGTGATGATAAGCTACGCGAAGCTTATGCACGTAACTTTTGGACAAAATCTAATTTCAGACTTGAAATTAATTTGGTTTAGTTAAGAATACATTGGTCAATGGTCATTAAAAAATATTTAATTTTAGTAATATGTTTTTACTTTATAATACAGTATAAAAACGAATTTTTTACTCCTATTAATTTGAATAAGTTTTATGAAAAAAATATTAAAATTTTCCGATATACAAAATTGTTAATATTTTTCGGATTTCCCCAATTTATACAAAATAAAAGAAAAGTTTTCAATTTTTAAGAGTATTGTCTTCAACTAGATACGATTTGTGATCTTTGGACGTATCATTAAAAATACTCGGTACAGTCATAGCTGAGAAAAAATAGTAACAGATAAAAAATAACCTAATATTAAAATTAATATCTTCTCAGATTCGCATCGAAGCTCAAAATTCAATGTGCAATATTATCCTATATACTTTATAATGAGATATATTTTATACTACAATTAAAAATCTGTAAGTTTTACAAAATTTTAGTAATTAAATAAATTTAAATTCAAAGACTGACGGTTAAATGAAAGTTTACAGTTTTTCCTTAAATGCGTGTCACTCCCCCATAACCCTACGACTCTTCTTTTTCTATAAAGGCCAAGTCTTTTCATAGACACCCAACTATAGTATGACTGGTGTTTTTACTAGGAGGAGGGTTAAGTGCAAAGGTTTCCTGATTTCTTCTGCGCTGGGAATACAATGTTTTTTGCCATTGAAAAACGTTCGTATTACCCTTTTGTACGCCTACATCGGCAGGCGCTGCTTAACACTAGAGTTTATCAACAACTAGCGTGTCCATTACGACACACGTATAATGAAAACGTAAATCTTTAAATTTATGATAAAATCAAAAATTAGATTTAAAATTATGGACGCAATTAATTCCTCTTCCAATGAAAATAATATTAGAAATATTTTTTGGCAATTTTAGTAAATGTTGACGTCAAAAGAAAATAATAATAAAAAAATTTTTTTTAAATATTGTTTTGTTTATTCGTAGAATTAAGTTTAAGAATATGATACTTTTAGTGTACTTCATTCTAATTTATAACTTATAATTTTATTTAATGCTGTTGTTAGGTTTTGAGAAACTCTGGCAAACCTATTAACTATCAGATGAGGTAGAACCTCTCCCCTTCTAAATGTTACAGAAATGCAAGAGAATATAAACTTATTTATGTATACAATTGACAACTTACATGTATCCAAGATCTGTTAATTTCGTGACTAGTAACCGAAATATATTTTTGGGTTACGGTAGGGTTTTATTTTTTTAATAATTTCGGTTTCAATAGAAGTTTTGATTTTTTATTTTATTGATATTTTGGTTTAAGTTTCGGTTTCAGTTAATAACGGCTTAAAACGATTTTTAAATAAATTTTAAAGTAATAAAAACTTTTTCTATGACCGCCACAGGTTGTAACACATTATTTCTTCATTATTATTATCATTATTTTATTCCTCAATTTTACCGCATTTATGATGGTACAGTCTTGGTATAATTCCACAATTAACATTCTATGATAATAGTTATCATTCTGATAACAATATATGTTGTATTTAAAATGTTTTAAAGAAAGAAAGTTCTCAATGATAGTTGCTTATTCCTCAGTGCGTATATTTAAATATAATAATTTATATTTACACTTAATTATTTTAATGATTTAACAATGCAACATTTATATACTAGTGAAAAAGCTTTTAAACTTTTAAATGGTGTAGTCTGTTTATATAAACCTTCTGGAGTATCATTAAGATCATGTCGTCATAATTTGCTTCTTAAACTATGCAAAGGTAATACTTAAAATATTAAGGAAGAAATTTTAAAAATAATAATTTTACAATTATATTTCTTTAATAACTACATAACATTAATCTATTAACTGGTATTTTTAATAAATAGTATATTTGTATACAGTGTATTTATGAAGAATACTTTCCCCAATTTTTTTGTTAAATAAAGATTTTTTTATAATAATATGCATCCTAAAATTTGTTTCACTTCTATTAACCTAATAAGTATCAATTTTATTGTCAGAAAAAACTATTTCTAAAAGTAAATTTTAGCAGTAATTTTCAAAAGTTAAATGGAAACCTATTAATTTATTATTATTAAATAGAGAATAGTCTTAAAACATTTTGACTGGTCAATAACTAATTTTATTTTATTATTTTTTAAGTACTATTTATTTATTTATTTATAGGTAAGGGGGCTACATAGAATTCGTAACTGTTATAGTAAAAATAAAGCGTTGCTAAATAGTTCCTCACACCATACCTAATTAAAAAATTTAAATGTTATTTTATCAAAAAATTGTTCAAAGTTGGTTATCATTATATCAAAGTACTTATAGAATTAAAATCATTTTAATACACAGAGTATGTATTTAGAGTGGGTGGGGGGTACATTTCATACTGGTATACATTTATAATGCATATATTATTCCTTAACTTTTTTAAATTTTCAAATCCTAATATATCAAACAGTAATACTAACAATTAGTTATTGAACAGTAAACAAATTTATTTAGACTATACTCCTTAATAATTAAAAATAACAATAAGTTTTCATTTATTCTTTAAAAAATACTACTAAAATCTGTCCTTAAAAATAATTTTCTTTTTTATAAAAAATGAGTATTAAATTCAATATTTATTATGATTTACAAAAATTAATGAAAGTTTAAGATGTAAATTTTATAAAAAAAAATCACTATTAAAAAAATAATGGGGTGTAATATTTTTGATAAATAATACTATAAATTAGTAAACAGTATCACTAGTATAAAAACTATTTTCATTAATTTATTAAAACTAAATTTACAGATTTAAATTCTTTAGAAGTTAGACCTCCTGAGGATCGTGTTGTTATAACAGGAGATACAACAAAGGAGTTGAAAGTAAATATTGAACCTAGTTATGCAGATAACATTCTTGTAGTTGGTCCTAGATACCAAAGTGAAGACTTTAAATGTATATGGGCCACACATTTAGCTTCTAGAATATCAGGAGTAATTAGTAAGTACATTGCCCAAATCATTTTATTTAACGAATAAGTATTCTTTTAAATTTTTAATCAATTAATTTAGTTATGGGTATAAATAGTGGAACGAAAATGGTGTATCAACTAGATCATAACTATCCAATCCGAACTTATCATTTACATGGTCAATTAGGATTAATGACAAAAAATATGTTCATTGATGGTAAAGTAGTTGAAAAAGGACGTTATGATTTTATAAAACGTGAGAATGTGGATAAACTTATGTCTACAATACAAGCATCTAGTCAAAAAAAAATGTTTGAGTAAGCATATTTAATTTAATATTAATTAAAATAGTTGTACTAAAATTATACATATATAGATTAGCAGGAGTGGATTCTCAAAGTCAAACAGCATATGAACTAGCAGAAAAAGGCCTTATCAGACCTTCTACTAATAAAGAACCACTTATTTATGGAATTAATTGCATCAAGTTAGAATTACCTAATTTTGTTTTAGGTAAATTAATTTATTATACAATAAAAAATGTAGCATAAACATTATATTAAATTAGGTAGGTGCATTCCTTTTCTTTAATACTAGTAGGGTCTGGTTCCCTGTTACCTCTGCTTGGAACATAGAGGATGTTATTTACCTTTTGACATTTGTGTGAAGTTTTAATCTCCAAATACCTGTACCTACCTTTCCTGATTTCTTAGCACTGTATAGATTACTAAGAACATTTAAGTTAATATTACTTTTGTATTTAGTACCACATTAATGTGTTGGAATATAGTTGATAAAAATTAAGATTAAAAATGAATTTTAAAGTGTTGTACAAATATAAACCATTAGTATAAATTTGAATAACATTGGTTTAAATAAAAAATAACAGTGATCCCAATACAGTAACTCCGCAATGAGTATGAACATAATTATTAGTTATATCATCGATATTAACAGCTTGAATTCTTACGATTAAATAAGATATGAATCAATTTAAAACTCAAATACTAGCATATACAAGTTTTTTATTAAAAACTATAATTAACAGAGTCAAAGGTTTTGTTTAAATCTATAAATAAACCAATAACTTTTTAATTATTACTTAATCTCTCTTTAATATAAGATTCAACTGTACTAAAACTTTTATTTATAATGGATTTTCCAGATTGTAACTCAAATTGTTTTTTCAAAATATAATTATGACTAATTAAACAAGTTACTAACCTACATTAAAGACATGTTTCAAAAATTTTACTCTATTACAAGGTCAATTAAATTGGTCTATAATTTTAACTGAAATTATTACGTCTAGTTTTTAAAAAATTAATGCATTTTTTAGAAAAACTAACCATATCTATAGATTTATTATATATTAAAGACAGGTACAGAAATATTATTTTTTTTTTAATTTTATTAAACTTAAGTAGTATTGTAAAAATTAAATGTGTTTAACCTTGTTTTAAGAGTAATTTTTTTTCTTATTTTTAGAAGTAAACATTATTAATGAATATGAAAACTATCTACTATCTTTAGTTCATGAAATTGGATTAAAGTTAAGGTGTTCTGCTACTTGTACTGCAATACGTTGTATAAGGTATTCAGCTTTTAATATTGAACAAGCACTGTTAAATAAACATTGGAATTTAGAATATATTTTAAAAAACATGAAGGAATGTAATGCAATGTATAAAAAATTATACAAATTACCATCATTTCTTACAAATACGTCTTTCCTAATACAAAAAAATAAACGTATATCTACCTAACTAGCTAAGGTATTTGATTATAAGAATAAAATTACAAGTAAATATTTTTATTATTTTAATAAGTGGTAATTATATATTTAAAAGTTGTATACGTGAAATATTTTTATTTAATATTTTTGTAATAGAAACTTGATTTGTCCTTAACTGTTGGTAAAAATATTAATAAAAAAAAAAATTTGAATATTATTTATTGATAATATTAATGTTTTTTTCTTTTTGAATATTATATTTTTCTTTGTTATGTTAAAATGACGGGCGTGGTGTGGCGCAATGGACACACTAGATGTTGACAAAACTCTAGTGTTAAACCACGCCTGCCGCCGTAGTGTACAGATGGCTGACCATACGTGCGTTTTACGGTAGTAAAAGCATTAGATTCCAAGTGTAGAAGGCAACAGGAAACTATTAAACTTATCCCTTCCCTAGTAATATCAGTTGAAAATACAAATAATACTTTTTTTTTCATAACCAAAAATATCAACATTTAATTTTTAAGTATAAAAATTTATCATTTTTTTTTTTATGAGCCTAATGCTAAATGAAATGTTGTAGTAATTCCAAAAATCATGAATTGCATTTAAAATTTTCTCAATAGTTCAATTAAATATGGGATATAATTTGAAAAATTATATACTAAATTTAATTAATACAAAGTGAGAGAATCATTCATTTTCATTTTTTTTCTTATATTTTTTGTAAAATTATTAAGCGAGTATACAGGGTGGCCCACCACTCACTGACAACTTAAATAACTTTTGATCCAGTTAATATTTTTAGTTGATTTTTTTTTTAATAATAGTTATACGTTAGGTCTATAGCTATATCTCAATAATTAATTTTTTTACATTTTATTAAAAATATTAATTATTTTTAAATTTTAAATAAAATGGTAAAAAAAAAATCTAAGATAGCTATTTTGTAGAGTAGAATTTAAGAAAAATTTTAGTAAAAAAATATCTTATTAATATTCAGTAGTAAATATTCTGTGGCGTTTTGAAGTTTGTGAAAATTTGAATTTTTATGTATTATTTTACGGTATTAAACAATAAATACGTATTGAGAAAAGGACAGAAGAAAACGCTATCTTTTCATGATTACTATAATTTGGAGGTGTGTAACTTTTTCCATGATAATGACTTATACTTTTGAATGAGAGTTTTAAGTAATAATTGCCTTATCTAATTTCTTATCATGATATTAATGCCAAGTTTGTAATGTATACACATTATCATCATATGTATACACAGTAATCATGAAAAGATAGCCTTTTCTTCTGTCCTTTTCTCAATACGTATTTATTGTTTAATACCGTAAAATAATACATAAAAATTCAAATTTTCACAAACTTCAAAACGCCACAGAATATTTACTACTGAATATTAATAAGATATTTTTTTACTAAAATTTTTCTTAAATTCTACTCTACAAAATAGCTATCTTAGATTTTTTTTTTANTCTTAAATTCTACTCTACAGAGTAGAATTCTTAGAGAGATTGACAAGCGAATATTTAAACTCTCTTCAAACTAAGAATCGGTGGTCCACAGGTGTTCGTAATCTTTCCATTGAAGATATTGTATTGTAATCTCATTTATAATTTTTTGTTATTGCGTATTATATTCAACTATATTTAGCTTCCACGTATATCTAAGAATTGCACTGTCGATGGAATCGAAATATATAAATTTCAACTGGTGTAAAATGTTGGCGCCATAAATCACCGTTTACCATTGATAAATAACATGACACAATTCTATTTAGCTCACACTTTAATACATAAAAGCTTCGGGAATAATGATCACAATGTTCGCGTAACGTTGCCTGGTACACAATATAAACAGGCTTGTGTAAAGGTTTGCTCTGCCTTTTTATAATATTCTGTATCCCGAAAAATCATCAGTGTCAGCGCCGTCGGAAAGGCAGGGTAGAAGCGACAGCTGCCTCGGGCTCAGGTTTTTGTTGCGTACTATTTAGTCAAGGAAAATCAGATAGTAATTTAGCCAATATTAAGGAAAGTGTAAACGACTGAAAGCATTTGTCGCAAAAGCTATTACAACTTGAACGTTCTGAGGCTTATAATGGATCTTTAAAGCAATAGTTTGACTTAAAAATAAGATTAAAGTCATTGACTTTTATAGATCAACAACATATGGCTCAAATAGAAAACAAAAAAACCATCGGAAAGCTATGCTTCAGCAAATTTTATGCATAACTCGGTACTTTCGTGGGAAATCAGATATGATATTTACAAAAAATAATGGTAACTTTTTAGGTTTGATTGAAATGTTATCCAAATTTAATGCGTTTACAATAGAACATGTATGACACATTAAAAATGAAGAGACACATACTCACTACTTAGGAAACGATATTCAAGATGAGCTCATCAACTTGATAGCTAATGAGGTTAAAAAAATAATAATAAAAGAAATTCAACAATGTAAAAATTATTCTATAATAATAGACTGTACTCCAGATACTATCCGCAAAGAGCAATTATCCATAATAATATGCGCAGTAAATATGAACGAAAATAATGATTTTAATGAACCTAAAATAAAGGAATATTTTTTAGATTTTATAATTTTGAATCAACTACTAGACTAAATTTTGCAAATGTCGTTTTAAACAAACTGAATGAATTTAGTATACAAATATCGAACTGTAGGGGTCAAAGTTATAATAATGGGACAAATATGACTGGTCAGTATAAAGGTGTTCAGTCTCGCATTCTCCAACAAAATTCTATAGCTTTTTTTATGCCTTGTGCTTCTCACAATTTGAACTTATTACTACTTTGAACAAAAGTTCAATTAGAGCTATAACATTTTTTGGGTCCGTTGAAAGAATATATACAATTTTTTCCGCATCTACTTCTAGGTGGGCCATTTTTAATAAGCATTGTCTAACTATGACTGTGATGAAATGTTCTGAAACTCATTGAGAGAGCCGCCTTAAAAGTGTTAAGGCGATTCGATATCAAATGCCAGAAATTTTAAATGCATTGGAAGAAGTATCAAATACATCAACAGACTCTTTATTAAGAAGTGAATGTAAATCCTTAGAAAATGAAATTCATCGAAAAAGAGTTAAAAAATTTTTGCCATAATTTCCAAAACGTTCTAACTGAAGGTGAATTAAAAGATATAAATAGTTATTGTTCGATCCATTTTAGCTTCGATGCGAAGCTGAGAAGGTATTGGTTTTACTAAGATGTGTTTTTTTTTGTCTGTTACCACTTTTTCTCAGCTCTCACCGAACCGATTTCTTTCAACGATACGTCAAAAGATCACAAATTGTATCTAGTCGAAGACATTACCCTTAAAAATTGAAAAAAATTCCCTCGTTCCCCGTAAATGGGGGAAACCTCCAAAAAAATTACAAATTTAAAAATCGCTTATTTTCGATATTTTTTCAATTTTTTTTACTAAAAACTGCCGTAACTTTTTTAAAAATAAACATATCAATATAATTTTTTTTTTTATAGATGCTTGATGTCTTTACCTATCATTTGATATATTTTTTTTATAAATCTGACTTTTTACCTGCCTACAGGAGGGATTCAAAATGACAACTTTTTCACAAAAAATTGACTTTTTCAACTTAAATTTTGAAAGTGTTCCGGAAAGTCTGACACTTTTCTATATATTAAATTAAAGCTAATGTAATATACTTTATTATGGTAAAAAAAAATTTCGTACTTTATTTTGTCTTCAGGGTGAAATTGGCTACCAAATGCTATTATTGTGTGAAAATTCTCGATTTTATTTTTTTATTTTTAACTTTATAATGCTATAACTTTTTGAAAAATGTATGGATCGTTACAATTTTTTTATGAGAAGTAGTATTTATATAGATCTTTCATTCAACATACTCTTTTTTTAAATCGGACTATTTACCTTAATATAGGGGGGATTCAAAACATAAAAATGCATATAGAAAGTAGAACTTTTTCAACTTAACTTTTGAAAGTGTTCCGGAAGGTCTGACACTTTTATATATATCTTAAATTAAAGCTAATGTAATATACTTTATAATGGTAAAAAAAAATTTCGGACTTTTTTTTATCTTCATGGTGAAAACAGACATTAAACTTAATAAAAAAAATACGATTTTTGTAAAAAAATTCTTTTTTATATTTTTAACTTTATAATGCTATAACTTCTCGAAAGATGTATGGATCAATATAATTCTTTTTTTTATAGATGCATGATGTCTTTACCTATCATTTGGTATATTTTTTTTATAAATCTGACTTTTTACCTGCCTACAGGGGGGGATTCAAAATGACAACTTTTTCACAAAAAATTGACTTTTTCAACTTAAATTTTGAAAGTGTTCCGGAAAGTCTGACACTTTTATATATATTAAATTAAAGCTAATGTAATATACTTTATTATGGTAAAAAAAAATTTCGTACTTTATTTTGTCTTCAGGGTGAAATTGGCTACCAAATGCTATTATTGTGTGAAAATTCTCGATTTTATTTTTTTATTTTTAACTTTATAATGCTATAACTTTTTGAAAAATGTATGGATCGTTACAATTTTTTTATGAGAAGTAGTATTTATATAGATCTTTCATTCAACATACTCTTTTTTTAAATCGGACTATTTACCTTAATATAGGGGGGATTCAAAACATAAAAATGCATATAGAAAGTAGAACTTTTTCAACTTAACTTTTGAAAGTGTTCCGGAAGGTCTGACACTTTTATATATATCTTAAATTAAAGCTAATGTAATATACTTTATAATGTTAAAAAAAAATTTCGGACTTTTTTTTATCTTCATGGTGAAAACAGACATTAAACTTAATAAAAAAAATACGATTTTTGTAAAAAAATAATTTTTTATATTTTTAAATTTATAATGCTATAACTTTTTGAAAGATGTATAGATCAATATAATTCTTTTTTTTATAGATGCTTGATGTCTTTACCTATCATTTGGTATATTTTTTTTGTAAATCTGACTTTTTACCTGCCCTAAGTGGGGGATTTAAAATGACAACTTTTTCACAAAAAATTAACGTTCTCAACTTAACTTTTGAAAATGTTCCGGAAGGTCTGACACTTTTATATATATCTTAAATTAATGCTAATGTAATATACTTTAATTTAAAAAAAAAAAAATTGACCTCTGGACTTGTCTTCATGGTGAAAATGGCTATCGCGACCCCCCTGTGCTGGGTTTTTTTTGTTTTCTTTTGTATGTTATTATGGTATATGATAAGCGCGTTGTCCGGTGCGTACCAGTTTCTTTTTATTGTATTAATAGTAGTCGAACGATGAACTCGTCATCGTAAAAGACGGCACGACGTGCACACCAACATGTGTATACAAAATAAAGTAATATNTGTTGGTGTGCATACAAAATAAAGTAATATAAACTAAGTTAAAAGTTTAAGTTTTATATCGTTCTTATTAATTAAATAGTTAAAAGTAATCGTANCACCAACATGTGTATACAAAATAAAGTAATATAAACTAAGTTAAAAGTTTAAGTTTTATATCGTTCTTATTAATTAAATAGTTAAAAGTAATCGTATTTTATACAGTCCACTCTGAGACCGAAGCAGTTATGAATTGTATAAAGAATTGCTTATTTTTTGTACTATTATTTCTGAAGAAACGACAGCTTTTCAAGATCTTTTAGTACTAAAATAATGTTGCGGTTATTCTCCAAATATTTCAATTACACTTTTTTTTTTATGAAAAATTAAAATTATATATCAGGGTTAGAACGTGCGCAGCAAATAGAAGCTATTATGCTATGAAATTTAATATTATATTATTACTTACAATATAAACATATATGATGTTATCATGATAGTAAAACTGCACATCATAGAAAAACTAATATCTTTTCAGTTTCGTATCGAAGCTAAAAAAATAAACTTATTATTGTGATCTGGAAAATCAGACAATTAACAGAATAAACTTCAAAGTAGACACCCCAGTTAACAAATTGATTTATTAATACATTCAATTGAAAATAATTATATAATCATAATTTAATAAATTGACAATTACACATAAAATTATCAATTAAAGGAACTTGATATACATCTCCCTATTTTCGTCAGTTTCCATTGGCTCTGAAATATCTGGATTTAATCCTTAATGAAAAAAAACTTATTAAATTAATTAATTAATTAATACTAATAATATGAATACTTATTATTTTGAAGATTTTATATCACTATTTTGTAATAACTGTTTGGTAGAGAGCGCCTTTAGCAAAGATGAGATTATCGTCGTTGCTCAACGATTACATGTTGTACACGGCGGACAATTGACACGTAGGCCGTTGATTTGACGTGTTGTGGTAAGGGGGTAAGTAAAGCATAAATGTTAGAGATCAACTGTCACACGAAATAATAAAATCAACAGTGTTTGTAACAACTAGTCCGCTTGATGTTTGCTAAAGGCACTGTCTTAGTAGAAAAAATAAAATAAAATCTAGGAATGTGTCATTCTACCTTGTCCAAGAAAATCGATAAGCTGTGGTTCTTCATTGGTGCCAGATATAATATTCGATTCTAATAAAAAATCAATTTAATATAAAGAAATAAAAAAACTTTTTTATATAACTAAATCTTTGAAGTAACCATTCTAGTGGATAATTTTACCTTTATTGAATGAATCAATAAGCTCTACTATCAATCGATTTTAATATCAATTATCCACTTTTAGTATAAAGTCCAAAAATAAAATTAACATCATGATTAATTGAGGTTTAATTATGTCACAAAGCATTATTTAGTTTTTCTATATTTTTTTCAAAAAGTCGTTTTCTTACGAAATTATTTATAATTTAAAAGTCTAACTGTTTAGAAACAACTATATAAATAATACTTCTAATAAATGGGATGTTTATTTTAATAATATTTAAGTAATGTTTTAAAATATGCTGTTTAGCAAAAAAAAAAAAAAATACAAATTTTGAATACCAGTAGAATAATTTTAACTATAGGTAAATTATTTTATAAATTATAATTATATGTATACCTTTTGTACGCGATTCGTTTTGAATTGTTTCAGAAATTTTATTGGGTTTTGTGAACAATTTTAAATCTATATATATAATACATAATATTTGCTTTAAAATGTTGGTTTTAATTATTTATTTATAAATTCATCATACCGTCAGTACAATATTCATCTGGTAAAGGTATACCAACTTGTTGGATATTTTGATCATACTGAAATCCTAGTTTATAAAATTTGTTTATAATTATGGAATTAATTCTTAAATCAACTTTTTGACATAGATAATTGTCGTACTGCAAAGTTTTGTCATTATTAATTTTATATTTATATTTATTACTCCATTCATGCCATAATGATGCTATATTAAAAGGTACAAATTTGCAATAGTTCTTATAATGTTTTATAGTGTCATTATCTATAACAGTAAAAAAATAAAAAATAGAGTTTAAAAAATATTTTATGCTTTTTGAATCATTTTCCTTAGGAATAAAGCATTTTGAATCGCTATTAAATTTTTCTATATTTAATAATGTTTTGTCTATTAAATAATTATATCTTTTTTTATTTATCAATGGATTAGTATGCATATAGTCCAATAAATAAAGTGTTTCTTTCATTAATGTTGCTAATAATGATAATTTTTGTAAAATGTTCAATAACTTTAAAGCACAATTATATGCAATTTTTAATGGATTTCTATTGTTAATCAAGCTTTTACAATGTTGTCCAAATTGTTTAAATATAAAATATAGTATTTTCAAATCTTTTACATATGAACATGTTAAGTAAATAGTCGTTAAGCGAATTTGTTTGTCAGTTTTAGAAGTATCATATTCATGTAAAAAAATTTCCGAATAATAAAATTTCTTGAAATATTCAATACAAGTCACATCTTTTAAATTATTCCATCCATCATTTTCAAGGAGACTTTTTAATATATCAGTGTTTCTTTTTGAATTTAATTTTGATTCAGTGAACAGTATGAATGTAGATAGTAACAAAAGCATATAAAATATTTTCATAATACTTTTTCTTTTTTGTAAAAATGTATAAAATCAATGAAACTACTATAATTTTTTTTACAATCGAAATTTAAAATGTATATCTTTGTATAATGGTTTTTATATGATTTTTTACAAAGTTTATATTATTACACATTTATTACTAACATAATGATTTATAGTTAAAAATGTATAATTTTTAGAAATCTATTATTAATACTTAAATATTTATAGCATTCAAAAATATCTTATGGTTATGTGCTAATATGCTCATATTTCACATAATATTCAGTATTAAAATGAAGTAATTTTTTAAATCAATTATTTTAGCATCTTAATGCAGGTCTATTAAAATTATTTTAGATTTTGAAAATTATAATAACTATTTAGTATCAATGAGTATTATAATATTTTTATAGAATTTTCTCTTATTCCAGTAGTGACCGATGAATTTTCCTGCACCGATGATAATTATTACTATAATTATTTATGACTCCGATTAACAGTTTATTATTAATTTAATTATTTAATATGTTGATTAAAAAAACTACGCACAGTAAAATCGCGGCACAGTGGGGACGTGGCATAGTTGGGTCCAGTATAGATTTAATTTGACAGTGATTAAAATCACTATCATAAGAAACGCTTCGATGCAAATCTGTAGATAACGTTTAATTTTAAATAATTGGTGGATTATTCCAAAAGCTTCATAAACTGCTAGTTCCTTATTAATATCCTGATTAAGATAAAGTATGTCGAATGAAAAAAGGAATATTAAAAAATAGTATTTCCCATAAAAAAATTATATTGATCAATACACTTATCAATAAGTTATAGCATTATAAAGTTAAAAATGTAAAAAATAAAATTGAGAATTTTCACACAATAATAGCATTTGGTAGCCATTTTCACCGTGAAGACAAAATAAAGTCCGAAATTTTTTT